CATTTTTTTTTTTTTTTTAATAAAAACCCCACCAAATTTTTCCCCCCCCCCCCCCCCCCCCCCCCCCCCCCCCCAATACCTTACAGACCTGCTCATTCCCTACTAACCCTCTCGGCCCCTCAGATCCACCTCAGCCTGTCTTCTCTCCACCCCCAAGTCATCAGGTCCATAGCCTTCTACAGGGCGGCTCCCAGGCTCTAGGTTTCCTTTTCAGAGGGCAGCTTCTGTACTCTTGCATTGTGGGCCTATAGACCGTAGAGAGACGACAGGAAATGAAAGCTAAGAGAGATGGAGCCAACATGCATCAAATGTTCTTAGTAAACTGGAGGACGTTGTGGTTAATTGTTAGAACTCTAAACCACTAGGCCATGGGTCTCAAACTGCCGGCCCCCTCCCCTCCTTTTTCTACTTGTTTCATATCAATTTAACTACCCCTTCACATACAATTTAAATAAAAAATGTATTTAGTTTGGCGCAAAGGTCAAAGGTGACCGCACATGAGCGGTCAGTTGTGGATAAGAAGAGAGCAGGTTACAGGGCTTTATCAGTTGTTTGGCTGCGAACAACAAAGGTGTCTCTTTGCAAACCAAAGAGGACAGGGGATGATGAACACAGAGAGTATCAAGATACATGGACATTGCAGTATTTGTTTGTGGAGTTTAATGGAAATGCTACTTGCCTGATATGCAAGGAAAAAGTTACTGTTTTAAAAGAATAAAATCTCAAGCGTCATTACTCGACTAAAGACGGCGAACAGTACCAGGGAGACGAGAGGAACAAACAGCGATTGAGTGGGCGGGTTTACCGTGGAACAGACTGGTGGGCATGACCACTGATGGAGCCCCGTCTATGACGGGCAACATAGCCGGATGGTACAAAGAACGATAGAGGAGGAAAATGCAGATCCAGCAGTTGTTGTGCACTGCATTACACACCAACAGGCACTGTGCAGCACATGCTGAAATATGAACATGTCATGTCTGTTGTCCTGAAATGTATCAATTACATCAGGACCAGGAGTTTACAGCACCGCCAGTTCAGATTGAGTAAAAATGTTTGGACATGTTGTATATATTATTTATATTCATAAGGAAAATAGCCAGTATTAATGAAAATATATAAAAAATTAAATAAATCTGAATTCTTAATATATTTGATTTATATGGGTGTGAATAAGTCATGATATATCATTGTTATCCTCTTCATGTGGTCATGTTTTCAGTCAGTGTGACACTCTCTGGTTCCTTTAGCGTCTTCTCTGATGGAAGAACTGACTGCAGGGACCTTTGTCTCTCTAACCTGCTTTCTTTGGCGCGAGCTGAGGCGCTGTGTCACAGTGGGGTTTGTTTCCAAGGCATCTCGTGTGGGTGCAGTGGAGCTGTGACCACAGAGAGGCCGGCTCATTGTTTTTAAGGAACTGATAACTCAACCACTCTTATAAAAAGATACTGTGACGGGATGCGAGTGTTTCTTTGTGTGTATTTCAGTTTCAGATGATCTGATCTTTGCTTCTGACGGTCACTGTGAAGGTTGACATTTCACTTGATTGTGTTTGCCTGCAGTGACAGAACTGAATACACAAGTTAGAGGAGCCGTGTGATTGAGAGGCATCTATAGTGAGCCTGCAGATTGCATCACATTAATAACCCTGTGCTCAGCCCTGTGTGGAGGCATTCTGGGGGTTTATCACAGTCTGGAATATGATTAGTAGTAACATTGATTTTGATGCATTGTTATTTGTTTGGGCGGTGTAAGATTCAACTACTGAAAGAAAAGAAAAAAACAATTGAAGGTTGAGAAAACAAAATAAAAAGATTTGTGAACATGTTCAATAGTTTTGTAAGATCCCACAAAAAGAATAAAACCTCTCTGTCAGTTTGCACCATAACCACAGCAATGGAGCGCACAGACCAGTGGGTGAGATTCATTTATTTTGAGATTGATCTCAATTAAAAATAGGCATAAATACTTTATTTCAATTAAACACTGGAGTTGAAGCGGAAAAGTCAGTGGGCCCAAATCCATCTGCGTCACTCTATAAATGACTGATTCTTAGTATCCGTCTCCACAGCTGCTTCTTAGAGCATACATGTTTTAATAACTCTGTGAGAGGTGCCGGATGTTTCATTTCATTAAAGAGGCTGTTTCAGTATTGGCTCTTATAATCTGCAGTGAGACGTCCAGTTAGCAGGGTGCATCAGAGCCTCTGGCCTACTCTCTCTGTTTAGCAACAGTAGTGTCTCGTGTTTTATTCTGGTTTAATAATATATAGTTGTTTGTATGAGATGTTTCACACAATATATAACAGATAAAAGAGATGACCTGTTTGACTTCCTAACACTAGCACTACACAGATTATTATTTATTTTTTTTATCATTTATTTTTTATTATTTTTGGACAGTAGTTTAGGTTATCAAGTTTACGTTCGCACCAGCATATATGGTGTCCACAGTTTTTCAAAGTTAGGTAACTTTGTACAATTTGGGAGAGTGTACACATAAACAAAAAAAACAAAAAAAAACATCAGACAGGGGGACTTGAGAGAGAATGTGATACAGGTCGATGATGCTTGCTAAGCTAAATCAACTTTACATGGTCATTCATTCACTATTCCACAAAATCTGTTCGTAATGGTTTTACGTATCTCACCCACTTGTCCCAGAGTTGAATAAACCTGTTTCTCTCAAGGCGAAGGGAAAAAGTGATCCTTTCCATAACATAGATGTTGTTTACTATATCTATCCACTCCTGTATCGTGGGGGGCTC